TTAATCCCCCGAAATTCAACCGTCCCCCAAGATCGCCTCGCCTATGCGATCGAAGGCGAAGGCCCCCCTCTCTGCGGCATTTAAACCGCTATCACCTATCGCCCCGGAAGCCCAGGCCTCCGGCCTGGCTGTTATCGAGCACATCAACCGGGTGCTCGCCCCGTCCCACTTCCAGCTGAAGGGCTGCGCTTGGTCGCCCTTCGGTAACTTTATCGCCACTCCCCATTCTCCCGAGGATGTGGACAGGCTCCCCGGGATTCTTCCACGGATCCTCCAGGATATGTTCAAGGTGCCTTTCTCGCACCTCACCTTCGACATCTCATCTTTAGTTGTCGTCTACAATCTCCCGATCGGCCCATCCGGCAACTGGACCGACCCCACCGCCATGGCGCTCGCGCTTATGGCCCAAAACAACATCTCCGAACCGCTCCCAGCCTCCTCTGGTCGCTGGCTGGCGAACCCAGACCGTCACAAGGGAACCACCGCCTCCCTTCGCCTCTCCCTGTCGCCTCAAGCCAAGGCGGCTATCCTCAAATCCGGGTCACTCTTCTTTGAGGGGCGCCCCCACCCTGTTCGCGCCTTTACGGCCGCGAAAACCAAACCCAACCAGTGTCGCTCTTGTTGGCGATTAGGTCACTCAGAGGCGTGGTGCCGTCGGGCCACCCCAGTCTGCGGCTCCTGCAGCCAGGATCACCCCTCCCATCATCATTCCACGGTCGCGCCCAACGCGCCCCATTACTGCGTCCTCTGCAAAGGCGCTCACCCCTCCTGGACACGCTGGTGCGTCAACCGGCATATCCAACTCGCGGCCCAGCCGCCACTCCCCAAAAAGGCGCGCGTCCAGAAGCCCAAGGCGGCCTCCTCCAAGGCAGCCCGTAGCGGTACTGACGCTCCGTCTATTAATGTTTCCGGTTCTTCTGTTACCGACCCCGCGGGGAATGTAACCACACACTTATAACTCCGTCAACTTAGTTAACACCAGTTTCCCCATTAGGTCTCTTTCCTTACTGGGGTTTTTCTCTCGTACATACATATATAGGGTCTTGGTCCACGTCACCTAGGTTGTACTTTAGGTAGTCTCATGCCGACAATAAGAACAGCCCCCTTTACTCCAAAAAATTTCCTCACGCTACAAGCGCCTTCCACTATTCCCTGGTCCGCAGTGTGATTATCTCTAC